CTTGCCAGTTGTATAGCTTCATCGTAAGTCAACCCCATTTCCTTTAAGTCTCTAGTAATTGTTTCTCTCCATGATGTTGGTGGTCTTCCCATTCTTGTTTCTCCTCCTTGTGGTTCCCATTGTAATACTCGCATTGTTCCCCGTTGAATCAATTGTTATCAATTACATGGAAACATTTGTTTCGGTCTAAAAGTTCAACTGACGTTGGATCTAAAAGATCCGATTTTTCTCTGGAATCGAGCCAAAATGATACAAGCAACATCCACGTTTACTGGCACTAATTTCACTACTTTTGAATGTTAAACTTTAGTACTGGATTCTTATAAGCCACAGGAAAGATCCGCTGCATTCAGAGGTTCGGAGATACTGTTCTCGTGTAACACGCCTGTTTTTTTCAATAGTTGACGATGGACGAGGCGGCGAAGGGACAGAAAGCTCACGGGGCGATCCCCGCGAAGTAGATTTCTCGAAAGTTGACGAGGTACGGAGCGATGACGAGGAAGGATGTCTGCGAGGCGATCCCCGCGACGGAGCTAAAGGTAGTCCATCGCCCACCTCTGGTAGAGATATCTTTCCTACTATCGCAGGTGGTGATGGTTGGAGTGCATCGGCGGTTTACTGCGTTTGTCGACGACAGGAAGAATGTAGTCTTTCGCTGTTTCAGCTCAGACACGTTTGCTTTTAGTTAATAGCACATGTCTGTTCTTCAGTGTCAGGATCATACTATCTCTCACATTTCCAAATTTAAAGACCTTGACACAATTTTCGACGTTAAGCTCTCCTTTTCTCATCGTATCGTTTTTACCAGAAGTAAAATTCGCAAGAATCCCATTCAACCCATTAAGTCTAATTGTATGTTAAGTGAAAAAGTGAGCTGTCGACTGTACAACGCGGAAACAATACGAAATGCAAAACAGTCTTTTGATTCTGCGTTTGAAAGCTTCATTCAGGTGGTGAGTGAAGATATGAAGATCAACACCCAAAAACAAAGATGCAACTGTACAGAACAAATGTAATAGCAGTGCTCATATATAGTAGTGAAACGTGACAGCTAACCAAACAACAAGAAGAAAAAGTAAATTCTTTTGATTACATATGTCTGAAGAAAATTTTAAAAATCAACTGGACGCACAAGGTATCAAATGCAGAAATAAGAGAAAGAGATAAGTTACCAGCCGTTGTGCAAACTATGAAAAAGCAACGACTACGTTGGTTCGGGCATCTAATAAGAATGGACAGGGATAGGCTCGCTAAACAGATATTACAATGGGAACCACAAGGAGGAGAAACA